GATTTTCAGAGAAATATAGACAACCATACTGAGTAGCTCCGTTGGATGATATCTTTGTGAGAGATTTTTCTTAGTCTACTTCATTATCCCAATGCCATAACTTATTTGGATGTATGAATATATATTAGTTATGAGAATATAGAAATATAATATAAAATAATATATAATATATTAATACAGTCATCATAGATAAAGCATTTTATCAAGTAACGTTTTCCAACTAGCCACTAAGAAAGACTAAAAAACTTTCTTTGGAGAATGTTGTTTAGTAGGAAGAGACTCTAAATTTTCATGAATCATGTAATCTGGAGACCTTTTGACAAAAAAATCATCCATTATTGGTCACCCAAGAAACTCCTATATTTGAGAGTATAATTCCCAAATCACTGCATTTTCAGTTGTACAGAGCCACAGCAATGTCTTATATCAATAAATGGTCTCGTATACCCTAGAAAGGGAGAGCCTCGGGAGGGCAAGAGGATCAATGAGCTCTCTCCTCTAAAGTGAGAAGAGAACGGTATTCTCCAGAAAGAGAGAAAGGGGAAACAGAACTGCAAAACCAAAGACATCAAATATTCATAACCTTTATGTTATGATTTTTTTATCTTCTGATTGGGAAATCAGGAAAAACGTGGTGGTGAAAGGCCTGGCAAGACCACGTTCTGGGAGCACATTCGTGATGCACCTTTCTTGTCTAGCCTGGGAGGAGAGAAGTTCCAAAAGATGACACTGATTCCCAGTGGAAGTCAGGGCTTCTCTGTCTCCCACAGGAAATGCCAACACTAGCAGGTGGATACCAAGCAGGAAATCAGAACACTGAGTGATAAAGTAGAAAGCATAACTGGCAGTTGCAGATGTGCCATTCGACAGAGACAAGGTTGCCGAGCAAGTGGAGATGGAGGTGCCCACAGGTGTCCAGGGGGGTGCCAACCTTTACCCAGGCTTCACCGCACTTTTGTGAGGCAGGGACACGCACAGCCTAGGTGGACACTACAAGCCAGGAAGGGGTTACAAAGGAAGGGGAAACAAAGCAAGGGGAAATAAAAAGGTGAGAAGAAATGCATATCTTATCACAGGAAATTAGAAAGCAATACATTAAGTTCTAAAACACTGAAAAGATAGTTGCAACACACTTCTGCAAGTAAGTGAGCCCTGAGGCAAAACTTGGATGCCAGAGTGGATGGGGATGAAGAAAGAGGAGAGAAGAGGACACCTCAGGTTGGGAAAGAAACATGTATGAGAATAAGGGCAGGAGACAGGAAGCCAGGCCACCTGGCTGGAGTGGAACTGACATAGGAGGGGCCTTGACCAAGCTTCTAACTGAAGTCCATATTGAAAAAGGGCATCTTCTTTCTCACTAATAGAGTATGCCAAGAAATTTGGATGAACTTTAACTATTATTTCATAAATAATATTGCTAACATTAATAATTTTAAAATATAATATTTTAAATATGCAATGGTAATTCTATTTTTTTATACTTTTTTTTTGAGACAGGGTCTCACTATGTAGTTGAGACTGACCTGGAACTCACTTTGTAGCTCAGGCTGGTCTCAAACTCACAGCGATCCTCCTGCCTCAGTCTCCCTAGTGCTGCAATTACAGGTGTGCGCCACCACACCTGGTTCTGTAATGGTAATTCTAAATGATTAAAAATTATTATAAGGACTTCCCCCAAGATAATATTTCTTGTTCAAAGAACATATACATACACACACATTAGATATAAGGACTTCCCCTAAGATAATATTTCTTGTGCAAAGCATGTACACATACACACACATTAGAAAACACCTGCATATACTCACTGCACACACAATTATGCATAGACACTCAGTCACGGTCACATGCATTCACATGGACATATACAGGCACATGAACACACATTCATACATAGGCTAACTGGTGCACACACACACACACACACACACACACACACACAAAAGGAAATGTATCGTAGATCCTTCTTACCTGGGCTTCAAGTATGTTGACCTTTTCTTTCAGATTTTCAATTCTATCATCTTGTTCCTTTAAAGCACTTTTTAATCCTTCCATCTAGGAGTTAGAAAACACAATTGGAAAAAATCTTGTCAGTCCACAAGGACTAGTTATTTAAATCAGAAATTGTACCACTTTCTGAGGTCAAATGATGTTCATTAAATAAAAACATGAAATCTCACAGCATTAACAGACTCAGCAGGCTCCAGAGAAACACGGGCAAAATTGGCACCTGGGGAGGAAAGCACTCCAACAGTGCTGTTACACATTTTAGTCTCTGGATAACCTGTTTACACCAAATTCCCCAGACCACATCCTGTAGAAAGCAGCACTGGTCATCCCTAGGTGCCCCAAATGCACCTGCTAGTTGGCGTAAGGCAAGGTCCTGCCTGGCGTGCACAGGCTCCTTAAAGAGGAGAACTTGTTAGCCAGCATCAAAATGAGGCAAGCCTGCTTTCCCAAGAGGCCGGACGAAACTGAGGGGAGGGTGATGAGGTACAGAATGGTGCTGGAAGAGAGGGCACACATGGATTCATAGCCAGTTCTCATGCCCAGCGCTGTCACTGTGCCCCTCCAAGCCTTGGTGTACTCATCTGTAAGATGAGAGAGTAGGATGCTGCCAAAGTCCCTTCGGGCTCTCAAATTCCAAAACTTCTCAGCCCTTTGGTGAGATCACAGCCAAGCAAGTACAAATATGACATTTATGTCAGGAGGGCACTAGAATGATTGGGAAAGACTCCTTTAGAAAAATAACTATCTAGTACAAAGTAAAAACATCAAATAGAGGTCTGATTTTAAATACACATGTGTGAGTAGGTATTACATACTCATGCAGCCCACCATCTGACTGGCTGCTACCACCATCGTCTCTTCTTTTTCACCTGTCAGCATGCTTCTAGAGAAAGGGCAAGCTATTTTCTACCCTAAAACATCTCTTAAATTAACTGACTATGAGGTTGTCAAAACCAGATAACTTCTTATTCAGGATGGGTCTGACTCTCCTGATCTACAAATCCTTCTAGATAAGAGGGAGCAGTATCTGACTCAGAACACTTACATAAAAATCAGTGACACATCTTAAAATGTAAACACAATCTCCAAAACTATCTTCATGGAGACGGGGACAGGTGTTGGTGTTACAGATAAGAGAAGGCACTGAAGATTGAGCCACAGTACATGTGAGACCAAAAGGATATAACAGCAGGGAGAAAAGTCCTCATTACTTCTGAAGTCCAGACATGCAACTCATATTTGGTCTTCACATGGTAAAACATGTGACTAGTCTGACCTCCTGGATGACGCTGTGCAGGTGCTGATGCTGGGAATGAATTACAAACTGCAAATGCGAGATCTGCTCCTGGAGAGTGGAAATCTCCACTTGAAGATACTGGCACCTAGGAACACAAAGGAAAAGAAAGAGGGAGTGAAAGCTTTACTAACATCCTGAACTATTTCTGTTGCCTGTGTAGCTAGGCCCTCCTCATATACCCCATGCTGTATGGAGTATGGGTGGATGCGAGCCAACATTCATGTCCCACACAACACACAGTGAAAGGAAGCAGTGTATAATGTGCTCAGGCAGGCACCTGAATGACACTATCAGTTCCTGTCAAAAACTCCTCTGTAGTGTGGGATTCAGCTCGGTTGTTCCGCCGCCTGCCTCGCAAGCACAAGGTCCTGAATTCGACCCCCCCCCAAAAAAAAAAAAAAAACTCCTCTGTGAGTTCCTCCATCAGGTAGCTGAGAATGACACCGGGTGAAGCACTTCCATATGTAAACTGTCTTGCCTGTGAGCGTCCTCAAAATTCACATGGGGATAGCAATACAAGAGCAGGAATGGACACTTTGCATATACAGAAACCAGATTCCCCTCGTACATGGTCAGTATATATTCTGGATTGTCTGTGTTTGTCTTTTACTTGTGGCTTTCCTCCTGGTAGTGTGCCAGGTGACTTCCTACTTTGGGTAATTCTACTACTTAAAATAGGAAAAGAAAGAAAAGGAGAGATTAAATTTCAGCTAAGATTTTTGAGTCTGCATAAAACAATGCGAGAAAAGATGAACCAAAAATTTTAGATTATTCATACTTTTCCAAAGCTCCTTTTTGGGGAATTAGAATTGATCATATAGCTTTTGAGTGTTTCTCTCCTTGTAATATTAGTTATGAAGTCATATGCGTAGTGGCAAGAATACCAAATGTGGCAACGCTATGTTCCAAGAAATCACTCAACTTTTCTAAGACTTCCTACAACAGGCACAGTGACACCTTTGCTTTTAGTATCTTGTGAGATTAATGTATAGACCTAAAGAAATAAAGTGTATGTGCTTTTCGAAAGTAATAAGTATTTTCAAAGAAATGTATCAGTATTATTTTTACCTGTTAAGCTTTTACAATTTGTGTCCTTCATTTGATGTGAGCACAATTCTGTACTTTTATAACCTTTACACATATTATAAAGATGATGGAAATGGAAATTCATACAGCACTATGAAATGTTCTCATTAGAAAAAAGTTATAAGTCTCCACTTGTTTCACATTATATAATAAAACATTACTTCTCAAATTAAATATGCATCAGGGATCTTGTAAATTCTAGATTTTGGCCCAGAAGGCTAGTACAAGACTTTGTATTCTACATTTACAACAAGCTGAGTGTTACCATGATGTATTCTGGCCCAAAAATTATGCTTTGAGTAGTAGAGCACTATGCCACTAAGGTTGTCTCAATAGCTTTTTTTTTTTTAGTTTATTGGTACATTTTAGGAATATAATACAGTTACATTCATTATTGGGATCTTATAACTTTACATGACAGGTCTTGGTTCTCATTTTTCCCCTTGTCCCTGCCCTCTCTTCACCCCCTCCTCCCCTTCCCATTTACAAACATTTTATTTCCATTTTTTTCTTTTCCCTTATTTTCTATCCCCTACCCTTCCCACTTTCCCTACACCCTTAGCCCTTTTCTTCCTATTTCACATTGTCAATCATCTCATTAGGATCTTATGTACTATTACAGTTTTTCATACCAGAGAAACTATTCGGTATTTACACGTATGTGACTTATTTATTTCACTTAGGTGTATACCCTCAAAATGTATCCATTTTCCTATGAATGAATCTAATTTCTCATTTTTTATGGCTGAGTAGTATTCCATTTTATAGAAAAATCGTATCTTGTTTATCCAGTTTCCAACTGAGGGGCAAATGGGCTGTTTCCAAGTTGTAGCTGTTACAAACTGTGCTACTATAAACATAGGTGTGCATATATCACTGTGATATTATTTTTTAAATTCTTTTGGAAAGATACCCAGCAGAGGATGGCTGGGTCAAATGGAACCTCTAGTCCCAGGTCTTTGAGGTGTCTCCGTATTGATTCCCTCAATAGCTTTTACTATATAATATAGTTTCTCAAAGCCAAGTGATTTGAAGGCAACTTGCAACATTCTTTTTTAGAACACTTTTTTAACTTTCTCCATCTTTTGTTTCTTGTTCTGTTTTGTTTTGTTTTTTATTTGTTTTTTTCTTTGTTCATTTGTTTTTTGGTACCTCGGATCAAACTTGGGACCTTGCACTTTCGAGGCAGGCAGCAGAACCACTAAACTAAATCCCCAGCCCTCCTCTTCTGTTATTGAATGAGAGAGATTTATAAAAGTTCAGTTCACTGTCAAAAGATTAATTTCTATAAAACCATAGTACTCCTTGCACAAGTATAAAAAATGTCCTATTATGACCATTCATATTTATTTATCCTATATAATTAAATAATGTATGGTATAAAGAACTGTAACATATTGTACAGATTGCACAGTATATTTGCAGAATGAGGTTCATTTTGTTCATAGCCTTAAAAATGATCTAAAGTCAGGCGTGGTGGTGCACACCTGTAATCCCATCACTAAGGAGGCTGAGGCAGAAGGATCACTGTGAGCTCAAAACCATCCTGGGCTACATAGTGAGTTCCAGGCCAATCTCAACTACATAGTGAGACCCTGTAGCAAAAAAAACAAACAAAAACAAAAACAAAAAAAAACACACACACAAAAAAAACAAAATAAAAAAGATCTAAATACTCATAATGGAAGGTTGAGAAAACAAATTGTGGTGTATGCATGCCACTTTTATCCCATGCTACATATGTATGTATCACAGAGTTAAATCAATAGACTTATTTATAATGAAGGTGGCTCTTCTTGATGCTACTGAAAGAATAGTCTCTCAACAAGTGCTGTTGAGACAACTGCTAGATTCATGAAAAAATGGAAGGCAAAAAAAACAACCCACATAAAACTAATCCCACCTCAATTCACAATCTAAAGTAATTCTACACAGACTATACATTCTTTTCGGCTGCACATGGGTAATTCTCCAAGATAGATCACATACTAGCTCACAGAATAGGTTTGAATAAATGCAAAAGAATTGAAGTTATTCCCTGTACATTATCAGATCATAGTGCGATTAAGCTGGAGATCAATAGCATAAGAAACCGTAGGAACTTCACAAACACGTGGAAGTTGAACAGTATTCTCTTGAACAATCAATAGATCACAGAGGAAATTAAAGAAGAAATCAGACAGTTTTTACAAATAAATGAAAATGCCAATACAACATACAGGAATCTATGGGACACAATGAAAGCAGTTCTATGTGGAAAATTCATAGCACTGAATACCCACAAAAGGAAAACAGAGCAAGCTCAAATAAGCAACCTAATGATGAATCTTAGACTCTTAGAAAAACAAGAACAAGAAAAACCCAAAGCTTGAACAAGAAAGGAAATTATAAAGATTAGAGCAGAAATCATTGCAATGGAAGCTAAGAAAATAATACAAAAATAAATGAATCAAAGAGTTGGTTTTTCGAAAGAAAAAAAAAATTGATAAACACTTAGCTAGCCTTATCAAAAAAAGGAAAGAAAAGGCACAGATCCATTCAATTAGGAATGAAAAAGGTGAAGTCACAATAGATCCAACAGAAATCGAGAGGATAGTCACTACCTACTTTGAGAACCTGTACTCTAATAAAATGGAAAACACAGAAGAAATGGATGGATTTCTAGATACTTATGAATTACCAAAGTTGAACAAAGAAGATAAAAACATTTTAAACACCCCAATTACAATTGGTGAAATTGAAAATGTAATTAAAAATTTACCAACAAAGAAAAGCCCAGCCCCTGATGGATTCACTGCTGAATTTTACAAGACATTTAGAGAAGAACTATTGCCATTACTTTTCAAACTTTTCAATGAAATTGTAAGAAGCAATACTTCCAAATTCATTCCTGGAAGCAAGTATCACTTTGATTCCCAAACCAGGGAAAGATTCAACTAAAAAAGAGAACTAGAGGCCAATCTCCTTAATGAATATAGATGCAAAAATCCTTAATAAGATACTAGCAAACAGAATACAGTGGATCATCAAGAAGATCATACATCCTGACCAAGTCAAACTTATTCCAGGGATGTAAGGATGGCTCAACATATGTTAAGTGAATAAATGTAATACACTATATTAACAAAGCCAAGGACAAAAATCACATGATCCTCTCGATAGATGCAGAAAAAGCATTTGACAAAATTCAGCACCCATTCATGATAAAAACCCTGCAAAAAATTGGAATAGATGGTCTATATCTCAACTTAATAAAGGCTATCTATGAAAAACCAACAGCCAACATCACATTAAATAGCCCAAAACTAAAAACCTTCATGGTAAAATCAGGAATAAGACAAGGTTGCCCACTATCACCACTCCTCTTCAATAGAGTTCTGGAAACATTAGCCATAGCAATGAGATAAGAGAAAGAAAGTAATAAAGATAGGAAAGGAAGAAGTTAAACTGTCATTATTTGCTGACAATATGATACTCTACACTGAAGACCCAAAAAACTCCACCAAAAGACTTCTGGACTTAACTGACACTTTTTTTCAGATTTAAATGAGTTTATTGGTACATTTTAGGGATACAGTACAGTTGCATTCATTGTTGGGATCTTGTACCTCTACATGACAAGTCTTGTTTCTCATTTTTTCCCCTTGTCCCTGCCCTCCCTTTACCCCCTCCTCCCCTCCCCATCTACAACCACTTTATTTCCATCTTTTCAGTATCTCACATGTTTTTCTTTTCCCTTTTTACCCTTCCCCTACCCATCCCACCTTCCCTACACCTTTAGCTCCTTTCTTCCCATTTCTAAATGTCAGTAATCTTATTAGGATCTTCTGTATTATTGCAGATTATTCACACCAGAGAAACTATTCGGTATTTACACATGTGTGCCTTATTTATTTCACTTAGAAGTATATCTTCAATATGAATCCATTTTCCTATGAATGCATCTATTTTCTCATTCTTTATGGCTGAGTAATATTCCATTTTATAGAAAAACCACATCTTCTTTATCCAGTTTCCAACTGATGGGCAAATAGGCTGTTTCCAAGTTCTAGCTATTACAAACTGTGCCGCTATAAACATGGGTGCACATACTTCTCTGTGATATGATTGTTTTAGTTCTTTTGGAAAGATACCCAGCAGAGGGATGGCTGGGTCAGATGGAACCTCCAGTCCAAGCTCTTTGAGGTATCTCCATATTGATTTCCATAGTGGTTGCCTCAGTCCACACTCCCACGAACAAGGGAGAAGGGTTCCTTTCTCCCCACAACCCCATCACTTTTAGCAGAGTATCAGGATACAAGGTCAACACCCCAAAATCAATAGCCATCTTGTACACAAATAAGACTCACTGAATGAGAAATCAGGGAAACAATTCCTTTCACAATAGCATCCAAAAAAATGAAGTATCTGGGAATCAACCTAACAAAAGAAGCAAAAGATCTCTACATTGAAAACTAGGGCACTCTGAAAAAAGAGATTGAGGAGGATATAAGAAAATGGAACGATATCCCCTGCTCCTGGGTAGGAAGAATCAACATATTGAAAATGGCCATACTACCAAAACTGCTATACAGATACAATGCAATGCCAATTGAAATTCCAACACTATATTTCACAGAAGTAGAAATAATAATCATAACCATGAAAATAGAAGAAATCATGATTTCACCATCCCCCAGTCACACTAAGACTTAAAAAATGAGCATATATGTAGGTATAGCTCCATTCACATTTCAACAAAACACAGGCATATATCTTTTCATTGTCCATCAAAACCTTCAGGATTGTTACTTTCAAAGATAGCGCCAAAGGAGTAGCTTGAAGTGCCCTCAAAACACCACAGTTCAATGCACAATTTCCATAAGAATAATGTGCTTTGACCAGAGACCTAGGTTTCAAGACAAATGTCTTTCATTCTCTGAGTAGTTGTCAGATCCTCCACCTAAATGGAGGAACCAACACTGCTTATTTCTACATCCCCCAACTGTGTGTTCCCAAAATATAAATCTAAAACGAGATAGTGTGTGTGTCTAAAATGTAGAAGTGCAGAGGGACAAGTTGGGAAATAGCTTTCGGCCCATCATCACACAGGAGAGTGAGGAAGCCCATCGGAGAGGACTTCAGAGGTCTCCAGAAACACAAGAAAGAAGGTCAAAGTCCTTCATGGCAGAAAGAGTAGGCTTTGCTATGTATGAGAAGGCTGGAGCCTCCTAGACATATAACTTCTGAGTGGCCAAGTATCTTCTTCACAAGTATTTTAGCCAATCAGAAGCTCAGTTCCCTTCTTGACAGGTCAGTGCAAGGATTAAATTAAATAAGGTACATGGGGTTAGTCTGTAAAGTAATATCCATGCATCAGTTAGTATTAATGGTAGTAGAAACATGGTCAATTGTGTTTTTAAGGAAGTGAATCTTTAATTTCCTACTTTTTCTTTATGGTCATATCTATCTAATCTCAGTCTATGAGAAATCTTTATTGATTGTCTTAACCAAATCTCTATTGCTTTAACCAGTAAAGCAAATGCTACTACACAAGCTCAGTAAAGGTATTAAGTAAGAAAAATATTTATGATGCCTACAATCTATGAAAATTGCATAAGGATGGATGTTCCAACACTTTTCAGGAAATACAAACACCTACTTCTTTCAAAAAATTTCTAACACCTCTTTAAGAGTGTTTTGAGAAATTCTTATCACAATTTCTCACATAAAATACAACTGAAAGAATAGATTGGTTTAAATTTTTAATGGTTATACTGCTGGCTCAAAGACTGACAAAAATCCTTTTATTGGGAAAAAATAAATACTTTTTGAAGAAATATATCCAAACTCATACTGCCTAGATTCTTAGTGGAAAGCACACTGGAGAAGGCTGTAGTTTTGCCACACGGAAAAAAGTCTCTGCATATAAGGGGGCGGGGTAAGCTAATAATATACTTAAAATTAAGTTAGACGTATTTGTAAATAATTCCATGATGTATGGATGATCTCTGCAGTATTTTCATCATTCTCTCACAAGATGCACAATATCACATAGCTGAAGAGGCTCACCTTGTAAGGCCATGTGCATGTCCAAGGGGAAGAAGATAGAGGGAAATTAATAACTTATAGGCATCTTGGCATGCTTCAAAGATGTACATTCAATTGCCACCATAGGACCATTTCTGGACTTTGGTGTATGTGGTCAAACATGCATGAATAGGAACTACACAGAGAGTATAATCTAAAAGAAGAGATGAGTGAGAAGAGACAGACAATAAGAAAGGATAGGGAAATAGGGGTGAAATTTTAAAAATCAAGAAAGATGAATGCTTTACATATATTTCTAATTAAATGACAATCTGAGTTTGGCTCTCTGAGGCTCCTAACAAAGACTGGAATCCTGATGAGAAAATATTCCAGATGGATGAATTACGATTGAAATAGAGCTGGCTTTGAATGTAATATCTTTTCAACAGTACTTATGTTGACTATGGTGGGCTTAGAATTAAAAGGGAAAAGAAAATCAAAACCTTAACATGTCTTGAGTGATACCCTCAGAGTTCTAAGGATTTCCCAACAGCAGGTGAGAGGAGAGCAGGATAGATGGATATCCATAAATCCAGCATACAAAGTTCTGCAATGGCTTCAGTGAGTCAGTCCAAAAATTAAAGATGTTTTCCATAATATTTACATCATTCTCTACCAAGTTGAGGAGTTCCATGGCAGTAGTTTAAAATTTTTCTTGGAGGGCTGGCCACCTTGATGTGGTCTGTATAAGAGACCAGTTAACACAGTCAGGTGCATGGGCGTGTGTGTGTGTGTGTGTGTGTGTGTGTGTGCATGCATGCGCGTGGGCGCACGCGCGTGCACATGTGTGAAGATATCTCCAGCATCTGGGACCAAGGGTAAGCAAGAGGCAGCAGGCTCAGTCACTGTGAACAGAATCAACCCTTCCATTGGGTCCCTGGAACCCACAGTGAACTCTAGCCTCTGACTTCTCAGTGGAAGAGAGTGAGGAAGGGAAGGCAGGCTGTTTATCTTAGGTATTCATCTTCCCTCTTGCACTTGCAGGGTCCTACTTCCTTGAGGGTTGGCAAGGCTTCTGTTCACTGGCCAGTGTGCCTGTGGAAAGCAAAATATCAGGCACTGCTTTAACTTAGAAGATAGATTTGCAAACCTTTTAGCATATGGAGCATTGGATTTGAGTTGCAGCAGCTTGTTTTCCAAAGACAGTTTTCTTTCTAGCAGTGTTCTCTTTTCCTAGGAGGAAATCAGATACAATTTTTTGCTTATTTGTGCATATGTGTGTATGCACACAAGTGCCTGGTAAATCGTTCTTACAAAATGTTCACTAAAGATGCTTCTCACAAAATTAGAAATATGTACTCAGCTAAACAGCTCATTTCATATGAGTTTTTAAATGCACACCAAAGAAGTCTGGTCAGGCATTCTGTTAGATGCTTTATAAACAAGTCAGTAATGAGTCCAGAGTAGATGCCTTCACTCGTTGCCTGCCTGGAGAACTTGCTTCTCCTCCAGCTCAATGCTGAAATAAAGTCTGTGCAGCTCAACATCTCCCATACATCTCCTGCATCCTACTTCGAATGAACAGCTATACAGTGGTTCCATGCATGGACTCTCCTACCACTGCCCTTGCCTGTTGTATTTTAGGTCAAGTTGATGGTATCCAGGGATACCATTGCCCATACCTTGATAACTCTACCTGCTCTCAAAGCATTTGTAAGAATGCAATAAAGTAGTAAATGTATTTTTAATGAAGGATCAAGGCCATAAATGATAAAATTACTTCTTAATTAGGATCCATGAGAAATTCTGACACTGAGAAAGAATATCTTTTAAAATTCCATAATTAAATTATTAAGCTACAATCTTTCCAGTCCCAAAGGAAATAGATAAATCCCTGAAAAACCAAGCTGAGATGATTGCATTCATTGCATATTTGATGGCAACATGCTGGAGAAATAAAGAATTTGAAGTCTAGGCCAAATGATTTTTCAGATTTAGGTTGCTAAGTTGGGGAAAATGAGAAGAGACTGAAAAAATGCAGGAATTGGTATCATCAATAGAGATGGAACAAATTTAAAGAGATGTTTTGAAAGTATCTACAATGATGCTTTAAAATCATTTGCTGCTGCCGTGTTTATGTCGGTAATTCAAAAGACGGTGCCACACAGCAGAAACATCAGACATTGTATATGGAATGATTTGGTTTTAAAATTTGGGCCAAGGTTTTAGCCTCTCAGGGCCTTATAATATTTTTTAAAAATTAACTGAAACTTAGAAATAAATGTATCGTGAGATTTTAATGTCACTTTGGGCCATTGATTGATAATGTGACCCAAGAACTATTTAGTTCATTCAAAGAATTTTTCTTGTGTTTTACTTTATTTTTTTATTTTTATTGGAGCCTATACTCTCTAAAGCTGAATGTTAATTTGTAGATTCTATTTGAAAGGTTATGGTTTAAATGACTTAAAGAATATTAACAATGTTTTTAATCTAACCTACTCACCCTATTCTATATTATGTTCTCTTTCTCAAAATACTTTATTTAAACAAGACTTTACATCTTATTAAGTTTCTCTGTAGGTTTAATGAGTTGAGCAAAAGATTCAACATGTATTAATTCTATACTTATGAGTCATGGTTTTAACTTTATGAACTTCCCTAAAATAAAGGTAATATTACCTACATCAAAAATGTTAAGGGCCTGGGATTTAACACCACCCCTGCCTTGTAAGCACAAGGTTCTGAGTTTGATTCCCAGTATTGAAAAAAAAATAAAGTTACAATAATTGGAGATCCTGTATATGAGAAGCTGACATACTTCCTTGGCATACACGTTTACCTCAATATGTAATAATTTGAAGCTACCAAGTACTTCATATACTCTGTGTTTTGTTATTTTTGTGTGTGTTTTGTTTGTTTTGTTTTGTTTTTGGTACTGGGGATCAAACTTGGGTCCTTGTGCTTGCAAGGCAGGTGCTGGAAACCACTAAGCAAAGTCCCTGGCCCAGTGTTTTGCTATTTTTTAAAATATGCTAACTTCTTTAAATATTTCTTGTAACACTTTTGTCCCATAGAAATTTTGACACCATAGTCTTATATTTAAATTAATTCTAAGGTGCAACAAGTATACCTTGCGAGTTTATGAGGATGCATGAATTTTCAAAAAAATTCACAGATAATATTTTTTTTAACTTATAGGGTTGGGGAAATGGTGTTAACAAATGTACTTCATAACAGACTTAATCTTGATTAATGAACTTTTATGAAAGAGTTCAGAGTCCAGACAATTACACTATTCTACCCTGGGCATTGGACTTGGCCTCTTCACACCTATTGGACAACACAAAAAGCACACACTGCCAGCTAGCACATGTCAGGTCTTTTGGCAAGCTCAACACTACATGATGGGCAGCTCACCAACACACCAAAGCTGTACCTGTGGTTAGCCCAAGACTTCCCTCGTTCTATTGATCAGAGTAGAGTGGACATCAATTTACATTCTTGGCAAATGTCAACATCTAAAAGATTAGGGAACCCAGAATATCATTTTATCCAGCCTTAGAGAAAAAGGAGGCATGATGGAAAGGGCTGTGAACTAGAAACTAGAGGATTAGCCCATCGTTTCTTATTCACATTGTCCTCGTTCATAAAATGATAGGGCAACTAGATGGTCTCAAAAGTGCCTTTGAGCTCTAAAATTCGAATGGAGCTTAATCAATGACACTAGAAAACAATTACGATGCAACAGAATTGCATTGCAAGCAAAAGGAACATATGCCATAATAAAAAGCTCTTATTGGGCATTTTTGCTAGCTTATCGCTGTGTATATGGAATTCATTCTCACTGCATTCCTGATTAAAGCAGGGCAGATGGTGGAGGTTTGAAGTAATGCATTCATTACCAGACCTCATAGCACTAATGGCTATTTACCGGAGCAGGGGCTTGTTCAAGTGAGCAGCAAATAACCTTCTCCGGGGGACACCCACACCAGGACAGTATTTATCAACTTTTCTGAGGATGTGCATTTTTCATTTTCACTCCTTCTTTGAAATTCTATCATTTGCTTTTTAATACAAAGGGCTGCATGCCCCCTGATATGGACTAAGCACCCGAGAAACTCCTTCATAGCCAGACCTCTCATTATCTCCCTAAGCCGGGAAGATGTCGCCAAGCTTTGTTCCTTGCAGTTTAATTTATTTGTTTTACAGATATAAAATATATTTAAGTATGTTTTAAAAAGGAACACTCCTGCATACTGTCCCTCTACGCCATCCCTACTCATCTCATCCTCCCAGAGACTCTAGAGGCCTCTATTAGACCCTGAACTACAGCATTCTAGAAAATTGCAGTGTGGTCTTGCACACTGCAATCCCAGCACTCAGGAGGCTGAGGCAGGAGGACAGCAAGTGTGAAGAAACTTAGCAAGACCTTGTGTCCAAAAAATATTTCTTTTTAAGGAATGGGGGATGTAGCTTAGTGTTAAAGCACTTGTCTAGCTTACACAAGGACTTGATTTCAATCTCTGGTACTGAAAAAGAAAACAAAGAGGGGAGGGGGAGAGGGAAGGG